TAATATCCATATGAGCTCCATGCTTCATATGCAGAAATGATTTTATTTATTTTTGTTACAGTGAACCCCAAAGCCAGCAGGAACAGACAGAGGGCACAGATGGGAGATGTGGCACAGCTGGGAGAACAAACAGATGCTCTTTCCTGCCCAGTGCCCACACCAGCCCCTGCTATCCGGTTTGCAGGAACGCTGAGCACACTCATGGTGAGAGGCACCCAAGGTCACGATGAAGCGTTACAGGTGTGGTGTGATGCCAGGTACTTGGAGGTTTGGATAGATAATGTCTGTTAGCTCAGACAAGGTCTCCAAAATTGCTGCTCTGTAGTCTGTAGATCTCTCAGAAAGAGGAAAAACATTTCCTCATGATACCTTAGTGGGGATAAAGGAGGATGGAGCCATGAAGGGCTGGGAAGCACACAGATACCAGAGTGATGAGTACCAGAAGAAATGTCCATAGGAAATGAATCTTCCCGCTTCTGGAGCAGGCTTTCAGTGAATGGCATGCAATACAATAGGCACAGGGCCACCCATTAAACCATGAAGACAAATTATTGGAAAGCTGTACACTGAGTGAGCCCCTGCACACCACCTGTGGCATGGCAGAGTGAGGGAGAGGAGGCTTGTGTGTCTGCTGAGGAAGCAGGAGCTCAGTGCTAGTTCCAGAAAAATGTTCCTGGAAACTCCTGCTCCCATTTACTCTAAATATCAGCAGTAACTGCTGCCCCTAGGTTTTATCATCATGGCTCCCATATGGATTTAAGGCAGCAATCTGAGCAGAAACACCCCAGACAGCATCTAGCTGCTCCAAGCCAAGGCAAACCAGCCATCCTGGTGTTTTGGAGGCACCCCTCTAGGTTTCCCTTCTCCTGCCATCCCCATCAGCCGCTGCCAGCTGCTGGTGCCACTGCCTTCTGTTCAACGTGTCACAGCAGCCTCAGCCCCTCCGCTGCCCTGGCAGGGGCTGGTGGTGGGCTTGGGACATGCACCTCTATCCAGGTCCCCAGGATTCTCACTGCTCTGACTCCTTCCTAATGTTCCAATAAAGCAGAATTAAAAACAGCTGAATGATCTTCATTTCAAATTCATGGGCAAGGCATACATATTGGAAGAAAAAAAAAAAAAAGAGCAAGGCCAAAAGGATGGCCAGATGTCCCTAGCAAGGGAAAAATCCTCCTGGAGCTGGGCATCTGTATTTCACAGCTACCAAACACCAGCAGTCACCACCATATGCTAAGCAGGAAACACAAACCTGTTCCATACCCCCAGTGACAGAGGAACACATTGGCAGACTGAAGATGCTTAGCAGGATTTGGGGGAAGGTCCTAAAACTCTCTCAGTGTAAGACATGTGCTTGCAAAGACCACATTTGTGACAGAAACCCGTCCTTTCTTTGTCCTGGTGCTCCTCTGTCCTGCCTGGGTGAGATGGATCTTCTCTGCAGGTATCTTTTCTTGTGGGAATTCGGAGGTGTCAGAAGCCTGTTCCTGACCTGGGGATCACCTGCAACCCTACACACGCTACGGTCAAATCTTCAAGCCAGCGTCTGTGTCCTGATGGCACAGCAGAGCTGGGTGAATACAGCCACGCCATTGCTCGTCTGTGCCCTGGGTGCTGGTGGGGAAGGAGGGGGGCTGCATTTGGCCTGTGGATCTTTGCGCCAGGTAACTGCACAGCAGGGGATTTGCTTGAACTCTCCACGTAACACTCAATGACTGGTAGTGGAGATGTCAGGGTGCTTCCCCAAGCTCACACCTCCCTGTTTGTTTGCTTCCCAGAGTGCTTGAGCAGATGTGATGTGCCCTCATGCAGTTGTGTTCTTCTTCCTTATTCCTACTCGAAGCAACCCCCAAATTCCTGCTTGCAAAATATGGTTATGGTTTCGTGAAAGCCAGTTCTGCCCCCAGTGCTGGGGACTGAAAAATCTGGGTAAAGAGAGACGAAAGAGCCATCACCTTTTCACGCTCTAACCTAAGAAAAAAAATAATGAAAAAATAAAAGTCAACAAGGCCACAAAATGAACATATCAAAGGACAAAACATTCCAAAAGAACAACAAAAATCCAATGAAGCCAGAACATGTATTTTAGGAGACCAGAGTTGGACTGGAAGAGCCAAAGACAGGACGAGTGTTGTTTTATGAAAGTAAAATCCAGTCAGTCCCTAAGAAACTGCTCTTGGCCAGCAGCTCCCACTGCAAGGCTTCGGCCAGGACTGCCTGGATGGCCTTTGGCCTTAAACACACTGCTCCACACACACAGAAGTCAGAAGCTGGTTTATTGCGAATTCTTCTGGGGATTTTTCACGATTCAGTCCAAAGGCAGACAGGAGGGGAGGGGAGAGGTTTGGTAAAAGTGCCCACGTGCACCCCTGGCCGTGTTTTAACTTGCACTGCCCAGCTCCAGGGCCCAGCCCCTCTGGGCATGGCAGTCACCAAGGGAAGGGCCAGGCTCTCTGATCAATGTGTGGGCATGGCTGCTGGAGCAGGGCTCGGGCTGTGTCCTCTGCCCGCAGCCTTCCTCCTTCACGTTGGGTCTTCCCCATTGACCCACGTTTGCTGACGGGATGCACAGCACTTCTTCAAAAGGCCTTTTAGATTGTCACAAAGCCTCTTCGTGGCATTGATAGCCCGCTGTTTTATTTATATTTGAAACTTAATCAGCTCCAAGAGTCTGAACTGAGGCATCTTTAACCTAACCTGCTTCACACAGCGGGCAGCAGCACTCCTCGCCGTCCTTGTGGGATCTGCACAGAGGATACTTGCTTTTCATGAGGATCATATGGTCTCCTCATGGGAGAGCTGGCTGCGGGCCATCTTGTGTGACCACCCTTCAGCCCAGGGAAATTTTGAGTGCTTTCAGTTTTCCTTGTGGCCCTCACAGCAGCTACACTATTATCTCACCATCTCCTTTCCCTTCCTGTTTTCTGTGCTCCTTGTTTCTCAGCCCTTGTGTGTACGACTTTGTTATGTCTGAGCAGTCATTGCTTTCAGTTCCACTTCTATTTCTGCTCTCAGAAACTCCTTACAAAGCTCAGTTCTAGCAGGCTAAGAATCAAAGGCTCTGCCTCCTACCCTTGGAGTTGTTCATACTCATTTGTCTGACCAGATGTCCCCTGGTGACACGTCACTTACCCAACCAGACTTCCCAAGTAGCTGGAGGCCTTCCAAAATCTTTCTGTTGACCATTGCATGGGTTTTGAAGCCCATGGGTACTTGAATAACAAGGGATGCGACCCACTGGAGTTAGAAAATCCATCACTTGTTCTTCTGCTCCTTGCATATCAAGTTGGATCACTCCTAAGCATGACAAACTGTTGACATGAGCCTGCGGGCAGGACCTCCTGGAAGCTGAACCACCGTGTGGTAAAGCTGCAGTAGGGAATGAGGATTCAGGACAGTACCAGCAATCAGAGGCTGGGGGAGTATGGAAGGAAAACCACCCTGGCTTTAAGCTATTGCTCCCCAGCAGCTTGCTGGTCTTACTAATCCAAAACTCCCAGAACACGATGGTGCTCAGTTAATTATGACCTTCCAGGCAGGGCTACACGTTACAACTGATCATTCAAAATAGCCTTGATAAATATTTCCGCCAGAGTACAAGATTATACTTTTAACATGGTCAGGTGTCCTATTATGCAGTAGGACATACTTCCATCTTCTGTGCTCGTTGTTTATCATACTTCAGTTGTACGATACACGCTGGATCAACCTGCCTGCCATGGATCTTCCCCTTTCCACCATTACTCCCGATCCCTTGACCATTATTTAAGGTTATCCTGCTACAAAAATGGCAAAGCTACTTTTGCATGAATGGAGTTGTTAGAAGCTACTGGCTAATGTTCTTAGTCAAAAATGATCTTCTGATGACAGTGAGGATCCCATTAAATGCTACCATTTGGAAAAATAAAAGTTTTAAATAGTCACTGTGTTCCAATTTTATTTATTTATTTATGGTTGATGAAAAGCCTGCCTTGCTTTTCTGGGCATATTAAATGTCTTCACATGTAAATAGCTGAAAACAAGTAGCCCTTTAAAGAAGTACCTAACATGCACAGCCATGGAAGAAATGAGTTAGTCCCTGGCCGAGGGCTTTCCATTAGCTTTATCTAACACACAGAAAAGACTTTGTGTTGCCGTCCCTGTCACACACAAGCCAGATTCCACAGTGACTGTATTTGGTCTTGCATGCCTATTCTCTACATAGTTTTACTTGCCATTCACACAAAAGATAAACAGACACACATGTGCTTATACATTTTGAAGAGCATATTTCCTCATACTCTACAAGAGATTTCTTGTAGTACCCTTTCATCATTTTCTATTGTGCCCTTGGAAGTTTTAGCAATATTTGTTTCAAATAAGTTTATTTTTGTATGATTGATTGAAATCTCAAGCTGCAATTAAGAAAATTGCAGCAAGAACCATTAAAGGGATAGCGTCATTTTCTCCCCTTTCCACTAAAATGTCAGGTTTCAATGTCACCGCAAGATAACCCAATCGCGTGCTTGTACACCGTTCACCCGGGCTGGAGTGAGCGTAAAACCGTCTGGAGAACTAATTACAAATGACTAAAAATAATGACACGCAGCAGAAGGAAAATGAAAGGTCCCGGTCCTTATTACTTAACTGCGGAGGTGTGTGTGTGCGCGGTAACACGGGCTATTGTGGAGCAGTCTGTTTAGTAAATACACAAACATCCATCCCCACTTGTAGATTAGCCCCGGTCCCTCCCCCATCTCCCTCTGTCTCTCTGCCCTTTCTTTCTCTCCAATTATAAACCAGCACCAGGTTTTCTCATCAGCCATCTCCATGTCTCCAAATGGCTTTTCAGTGTCAGGCCTATCAGGAAATTAACTCATCATGCAGTGACAGCTGCTAATTTTTTCCCCTTACATGTCAGATGGATCGCCTGCTGAAGCTAATAATGAATCACCAATCCCTGATTAGAAGGTGCTTCCGAAACATATAACTGCCATCTGAGCTAACTTTTTTCTTCATATAAAATGATATCACCCTAGAGGAGTAGAAAACGAATTGTATTCTTCAACAAGATGGAACAGGGGTAGGCTGTTTAAGTAGGCCGTGTGCTATCTTAAATTATGGGCTAATATTGCACAGTAAAATAAGTGAAAACTCCCAGCTCTTTTTTATTTTGCCAAATGAATGACTTTTTTTTTTTTTTCCTGTTACTTAATGCTTCCACCAGAACCAACTTTGCTTCAAATTTCAGGAGTGGCTTTTGTCTTCATCCCGCTCTCTTTTTTAATCTGTTTACAGTGTTTGTGCTCGGGAAGTCTACTAAGCAGGCAAGGGTGGAAAAAAGCACCAGAAGTTGCTTACCAAGACACACTCTGCTCAACACAAGCTCCTTGCACTGCTCTGCCTGTAGCTCAAACCCCATCCCTCACACCCTGTGATTTTCTGGAGGGGACCAACCCGCATTTTAAGCTCAGCTTTGGCTCAGGGATGGCCTGAGGCACAGCTTCGGCAGGCAGAGGCTCCTACAGAGATTACACAACCTGAACCCGCTGCCCACAAAGATCACAAATATATTTCTTCCAGGACCTCACAGCTAACATCTCTGGTATTAAAGCCGCATTTATAAATGACAGCAGCGCTTGCAGCGCTATGTACAATTCACATGTGCATACCTTAGCACGTCAGCTATTGGCTCTGGCTCCTCCAACTTCCATAGTGAAGTGCAGCTGGTAGTCAGGCAGAATGGTATGTAGCTGTGGGCACTTCGGGTTGTGTTGTTGGCGTGGTTTTTTTTTGTTGTTGTTATAGGAAATATTTCTCTAAATATGGTTTCCAGCTATCTCTTATCTCCCATTTCTCCCAAAAGATGAAGCCTGAATTCAGGGGCCAGGAGACACTGCCTCAGGAGGTGTATATCTGATTCCTAAGAAACAGAGGTGAAATTGCTTGCCAGAAACAGCTCTTTTTTTCCCCTGGTTTTGTTTTGTTTTGTTTTTTCTTTTCCATTGTTTCATTGTTCAGTTTTGGTGGTTTTATTTATTTATTTTTTCTTCCTGCATACTACTTTAATGCTCCCTAAATACTTACGTTTTTACCTGTTTGGCATTGCATGCTCCAACTTCAGTAGCGCTTAATGAAAATGGACAGCAAAGAGGAGATTAAAGCCAATGGTTCTGGCAGTCAGAACATCGGGAGGCAAACAAATGGCACAGGAATGCTGCACGTTGAGCAGTTACTTCCATTACAGCGTAGCGCTTGTTTTTTTCCTGGAGACAAAGTCAGCTGAAGCTGTTCAAACACCAAAATTAGCTTTGAGGAACTGAAAGGCTGCCTGGGCCGTACGCCTTCCTGGATGCACCACACGAGTCCTGCTGTGCTCTGAAGGTGGGCGCTACCTGTGGCACAGGCCTCCTGCGGCCCATCAGCCTGCTCCCCGACTCCAGCACCACGCATGGACCATCCTGGTGGCCCAGGTCCTCTTCGGGTGCTGCTCCTGAAGCATCCACCTCCTTCCACTGCCTCCTTCCCGGGGCAGAGGGCAGGACAGAGGCTGGCAGGTCCCCGAAGCGCTCCCACTGAGCTCCTCCCAGCTTATGGTGAGGTGCCAGGAGCGTGGGCATGGAAGGGACACACACGCCGGAGATGAGTTCCCTCAGCCTCGGGACAGATCTGCTGTGACCTCGGCTCCAGGCGTGTCACAGACAGCATTTCAGCATGGGGCTGAGACGGCGCATGGAGTCCTTAAGCAGCCTGTCTGCACAGGAATGAATGTCATCCTTGATTTCTAATGTTACATTTGTAGGGCACTAATAAGTTAACTTCAAAGTGCACATTAAAAAGAAGAAGGAGGGAAGGAAAAAAAAAAAAAAAAAAGCACTAGAAAGAAATTAGCTCTCCTGATCAGGCTGCACTCGGAGAGAAGTATCGTTAACCTGAGCTTCCAGGTAATTACAGCACACGGCAGGTTAGTGAATCCTTCCAATACTCCCAAGCACAGGAACACCTACCACAGTTTTTTTTTTATGCAAAGGTCTGCTCTTTTCATTGTGCATACAATGTGATTGCTGGTTTGACACTGCAGGCTACACTGGTTTTATGAAGGATTAAATGCCACCTGAGACATATTTATCCTAAATAAATCACAAATGGTAAACTGCAGCATGTCAGTGTCAACACCCTGTACTGCAGCAGAAAGGTTAGCCATACAGGACTAAGCACAGCAAAGAATTAGCATCCAAGCTGCAAGACCACAGGGCTACAGTTAACAGGAGGAATGATCAAGAAGAAATATTTCCACTGAAAAACATTCCGTTTTTTGAACATCTGTGAGAGCCTTGCAGAGGGCCATCATTTTGTAAAGGTCACCTTTTTCCTGATAACAAACGGGAGTTGATCCTGTCACTGTTTGCTGAAGACAGTATTTAAGAGTAAGTGAACAGCCTGTCACTTTTAAGAAAGATGAGCAAGTCAAACTCGGCTAATTATGAATCTCCATGTCTAACTTGAAATTTACTTTTTTGGGGGTCTGACAAAGACATAACCTTAATTCCTGGAAAATAATAAAATTAAAAAAAAAAAAAAGAGAGAGAGAGAGAGATGAAAAGACAGCAGGCTCTTATAGCCCCAGAATGAAGCACCTTTTCTAAGCAGCTCTATCAGAAAATACATTTTTAAACAGTTCCTTCAAGAAGGAACTATTGTTTTGCCTCACCCCAACTTTCTCACAGTTGATAATTTTAAGATATTAAACATGATAGGAAACCCAGTTATCTCTAGAGTCAGCATGGCTTATACCCTAAACACTTACACAATTATATTAAGCATGCATGAGGCACACTTCAGAAATTAGATTCTTTTATCTTTATCTAGCTAGCTAGCTTGAGAAAGGAAAAGAGAAAATGCACAGACATAACAGATAGCATTTGTTTGCTCCTGCTGAATGCCAGTTCTGTTTATTGCTTAATATTAAAAATCATGATGCTTTATTTTAATGCTAACATTTTATTTGAAAGACAAAAACAAACAAACGAAAAAAAAAAAACAAACTTGCCAGCTTATATTTTACATTTTTTTTAAAGAAACAAAAGCAGTTGTATTGTGAAACAAATTTTTTCAACATGAACTTGCATTGGACAATTGCAGTATATCCACAACTAAATAATTGACATTCTGGACTAAGCAAGAAATACAAGGTCACCTTTTTTTTTTTTTTTTTTTTTTCTACTTGTTAATGTCAATGTCAGAATTTTCTTCAAAAATCCCCATAACATTTCAAAAGTAGCTCACAAAATGAACTGCAAAATGGTATTTATATGAAGCACTGTTTATAAGAAAAGCAAAACACTGACAGTGAGAATATCTTTTCAAAAAAAAAAAAAAGCACATTTTGTATGTAGGACTCTCATCTAAATTTAAGTGGAAGATACAGGCATCAAGTTATTTTTTTTGTATGTGTATAATCAAGAATTTTCTGAAGTGTAGCATTCTGAGCTCTTCCCTAGGAAAACTCTTATGTGATACCATGAAAGAGTAAGCTACTGTTAAAAAATTTGATTCCAGATGGAGAAAATACTTAATTTGATGGCATATGTTTCACCAGGGATATTTTAAAGTAAGATTCTAGAAAGCAAAATGTCACCTGTTCTTCTTTACAATAAAGGGCACCAATTACAGTATCTAAGCTTACCTGATCACCTTGTCATTGTAATGATGCACTTTTTGTAATTTTTTGCTTATTTATCTGTTTATAAAACATACATGTAAGTGAAAGTATTTTACTCTTTTGATTATGTTAGACAAAAAAGAAGGCAGGGATTTACCCTGAGATAAAACAACATTTGAAAAAAAAAACAAACCAGTGAACAGAACAATACCTACTGGAGAGGAGGGGGGTATTTTTATCCTCTTTTGTGTCCTAATGCATTTACTTTAAAATAATCCCCTATCATAATTCTCAGAGCTATTGTAACAAGATTGTACTATCCTTTTCAGTGAACTCCTCCTAGTAGCTGACCTTCACCTCCCGCAGCGTGCATATCTGTTACCTGCCTATGAGGATATTGTATTGAGAAGGTTTTACAGAAGTTGTTCCAGGAATACAGTGCCTCCATGGATCCGATCACCTGAATCAAGCCTAGGAGATAAAGCTCTTCATGCTTCTTGTACTTCGTTATCATCTTGCTGGCCCTGAACTACTTGTGAGCCACCCTCCGTATAAATGACCATGCTTGTTAACTGTTCTCCTGCTCTATCAGGGGATACAGCTTTTGCTTCTATAGCAGTACCAGCCTGCAAAATCTCTTGAGACCCAGCTGTCTCTATCACAGCGTGCGAGTACACACCAGGCTCATCCTGCATGTCCGGTGCCAATTCTGTGACAATGTAGTGGGTTGCACCTTCTGAGAAGTCGCCATCAGAACCCTGAACCATGGCTTGAGCTATTTCTTCGGTGACGATGATCTGTGATATTTCCCCATCCGAATCGACTAAATCCATGTGTTCACTCTGGACACTGAGCGCGTGGCTACCAGCTTCCTGCATAATTATCTGGGAGCCTTCTCCAGCTACCATATGCACAGTCCCTTCCTCATTTACAATGACCTGAGTGACACCTTCTTTCATCAGCTGGTCGGCTGCAGCCGTATCACATACAGCAAAATGTAACACTCCTTGGACCATTTTCTTGAAGGCAGCCTGAGCTCTCTCCTGAGATGCAATTATAGCCGATGGGTGCATGACCTGCGTCACTACTTCCATAGGTTCGGTGTCTTCCTGAGTCTCCTGAACTTCGTGGAACATTTGTATTTCTTGTCCCCCTGCATCACTGGGGACACTGGGCGCCTCTGGGTTTGGCATTTGCAAGAAATCTTTGTGACTAGACCTGCTTCTGTCAAGGAGTCCAGATTTGGTTTCCACTTCGCCCAGCTCTGTTACAGCACAAAGCAGGGCATCTAACGCTGACGAGGACTCTTGGGGATGGACCGTAGCTTCAGAAGCATCTAAAACTTCTTGTTGCATTATCTGCTGCAGCACAGCACTACTGGAGTCAGGAACTGCATCTATAGGAACAGCCTCCTCCATCTCGGCTCCTGTTACAGCGCCTTCAACCACCACCACCTGCGTGGCACCATCTGCTAGCTGCTCGGTAAGTATCTGCCCTGGAACCACACCGCTCACGTGCGAGCCGTTTTGGTTTGTAGCTATGACTTGCCCATCTTCCGTAATATGGACCACCCTGGCCATCTCACCAGCCATTGCCAGCGTCTGAAGGGTAGCCGCTGCTGTTTCTTCCGCAGAGACATCGATTGCAAAGTCGCCGTCGTATCCTTGGATAATAATAACTTGCTGAACTTGTTCAGGCGACTGTGGCTGCCTTCTGCTGCCCCGAAAGGACTTCTCTTTAACTGGAGAAACCTCTCCCAGTGATGCTGCGGTGAAAGGACTCGCAGTTTCCACAAAGGTTGCTCCTTGCCCCTTCAGCCGGCACTCGTAGGACTTGGATACAATGCCTGCAAGACAAAATATGCTGTGAACGTGGTATCATAGAAAATATCGGTTCATTACTTTAACAAACTGTAGCTTAAATGGAAGAAAATTCCTTGACAATTTTTAGATTTCACTGGCAGAAAACACAGATAAAATGAGCAAGCGAACAAAAACAATTTGCATGTTTTCCAAATAACATATTTACAGGTTGAAATAATTGCTGAGTTTAACAATGCTGCAGCCTATTAACAATTTAAATGTGTTTTTTTAAAATATGCTGTACAAAAAAAGCCCAGATAAATACAGTATACAGTTAAAAGCCATTAACACATCTTTTATAGAAAATCCTACTGGTGATACTTGGGTACTTTGGCAACAAATTTTAGGATCGTACGTTACGTTAAACATATCTGGGTGTGAAAAACTGTGGCTGATCTTCTTAATACCCTGCTTTGTTGGCGAGGTAATTGCCATGCTGTCAGTTTGATGCTGTTGTCTTCCCCTTCATTTCCCACCTAGCATCTTCTCCAGCACACCTTGCTGGCTCGGTTCACTAGCCTAGGTACCTGGAGAAAACGCTCGGCAGTCTTCTCACCCTAAGCAGGATATTTTATGCAACTATTGCCCAGAGAAACCTCAATTACACTTCTTAATTACTTCTACATGAAATCAATTAATAGATAAAAATACCTTTACCTCCACATTGCAACTGCTTATTTCGCCACTCAGTCTGTTTTTGGGTCAGTGAAGGCTTTCTCCTCCATTCTCAACACTAACAATGACATTTCAGCCAAGCAAATAATGCCCATGGCCGCACAAAGCCAAGCCCACCACCCTCAAAACATGGTCTCGGGGTTACCCTGCCGCCCTCCTTGCCGTCCAGGACTTTAGGCAAACATGACTGGCTGCACCCTGCGACAAGCAGGCAGAACAGATCCAGCAGTTGCTGTCCCCCTGTCATGGTGCCATACCCAAGCCCCACTGCAGCTCCTGAAAGGCCACAACTGGCACACTCAGAGAAGAAAGTGGGACCCAGACACTGAGATCAAGACAAGGGTTTGGTGCCAGGTGGGCCTTGGGAAGACTGATGAGGCCCCTGGTGCTGAAGCTGTCCACACCCACACTTTATCTGTCAGGCCCTGATCCTACAGAGAACTACAGTGGGCTCTGAAAACCAGAGACTCATCTGCTTGAAGGTAAGTTCACACTTACGAGATGTGCTACACCGAGACTGAGCACTTGGCATCTTGCAGCCTCTAGCAAGTTGATATGCTAAGGTGAGTATCAAGCTAATATTCCAAGG